TATATATAGTTCCTATATATCTATATTTTTTATTTAGGCTTGCTGTTTCACTCTATGTTTTTATTTAATAATTCAAAAATAAATGGCTTGAATATTGCTGTATTTATTCATCGTTTTTAAGACAACAGTGCGTTTAAAACGCTGCAGCCAGGGCCTTCAGCACAACCCTGATAATCATTATCACAGTCCTGCAGGCGTAGTAATGATATTTCTTTTTAACATACTGGGACTCGCGTAACTCGGTTATCCACGGCGCCGTGCCGTACCCACCACACAGCACAAGTAATCAGAATCCGGTTCCGGGAGGGAAATGGAATTATCGGGACAATCTCTACGCTCAACACATCCCTGTGTTTCTCTTATCACTTAGCCAGATTACAGAGGGACGGGGATGGCGAACACATAGATTAAGTGATCCTATACAGTTTCACGCTATATAGTCGTCAAACCTGCCAGAGTCTCCACAAAGGACTAGGTTCCTGAAGAGGTGATGCACCGCTCGAGGGTCAACAGAGAGAAAATGCATGAGACATTGCTGTCCACCTGGTTACTAGAAGGCGCCGGTCGGGGGAGAGCGGCTTAGTCCTCCTCGCGCTCCTCCTAGACCTATGCTCATCGTTATCCGTACGCCGCGGTGTGGAGCGGGAGGCGCGGCGGCAGCGGGGGTATCTTTAACCTTGCTCTGGGCTCTCATTTTGGCAGATCTGCTGGGGTTGTAGCATGACGCCTCTCCCTCCTCCCCCGGTACCGGAGGACGAGGAGCATCTTCTCGGAAGCTACTGCTGATGTGCTCCGTAAGCGCCCTGCTCATGGCTCCAGCTCCGGTTGCCGTGTGAGAGTGCCGTCGTGCCTCCACTGAGCTCCAGCCTAATCCTCCTCACTCTCTAAAAGCAGCGGGGGAGCTTCTCAGCTCCTCTTCACTCTGAAACACAAAGTATTGATCTGATCAAAGCCAGATCCTGCTGAACTTCAAAGAAAGACATCAAGTAAACAGTCCCTTTCAAAAACCCTCGCCGGGTTCACAGAGAAAGGAAATATGAAAGGCTTTTTTCGTTTCATTTATCTATTTATAATCTAAATGAGAGATCAACTGCAGCCTACATTCTCAACGTGCATTCATCTGTCACATCAAAAACATTTAACAAGAATAATCACCTCACACCGCCTCACTCTTCACCAAAAACCATATTCTCACAACTGTGGCTTACACGTGTTTTCCTAACGAGTCCATGTCACAGGCTTCAACTCCAATTAATTCCCAATCTGTTTCGGACGACCGTACCCTACCCCTGTCTGCATCGCACACACACACACACTCGTTTCCACTCGGAGCCCACGCTTGTCCTCACCATCCCAGAAATGCACAGACGAGTGGGAATGCATCTGATCTGCACCACAATGACCTTAAACGCTGTAATGTACGAGGGGTAAAAAGCCCCGCGGGAAAAGCCAGCCGCTCATGCGTAAATGTAAGCGATCAATCGCCTTAATATCTGCCCAAGAAGGCTATTACAGCACATTATTAAAGCCAAAGCCCCGGGAACGTGTCTGAACTACCAACACGGCACAGAGACTTGACATATTTGGAGTAAAACCTCAGTCAGAAGCTGATTGCGATTTTAATCGGAGCCTCAGCGCCAAATCTAAAAGCGACAAGCAGCTAAAAACGGCATAAACCGGCAGCTACAGACGCTACACGATCATTCACACAGTCTCAACAGGCAGTGTAACACGACATCAGAAAGTAACCGACTCTAAAATCCGACGGATGAGGGAATAGACGTGCGTAAAAAAACACACAACATACCATCGCAGAGCAGATCCAAACCGGAGTAAAAACCCGTGAAAAAGTTGAACAATTACTCCATTTACAGCCGAGCTAATGCAGTCCAAAACTCTCCAAACAGTAATCCAGCGCAGAAAGAGACGACTGGCTACGCGCCGTGCCACATGTGTCCGATCTCTCTGCAAAACAAGCGCTGTAGTTTGCTGTACCCTGTCCCATTCAACAACTGACCTCAGAGCAGGCAGGCTCAGTCCCTATGTAGATCACTAGGGGTGTCAAAATCTGGAGGAGGTGAAAGAGGAGGCGGAGGGGGGCTCCGATTGAAGAATACATCCCACTTTTTTCCCAGCTAGAAGACGCACCACCCGACAAATATTCGGTTTTTATCTGTGCTACACAAACACACACACACACGCACACACATAAGCTTCTTATCTATCTCACCGTATTTCTCGCCCACAAACAAGAAACATAGCCCGCATTTCTCAACTTCAAAGCTCAGCAGCAGCACATCAAAGCGGCCAAGAGAGGGGGCCTGTGGAACAGCTTTCCTACAACTTACCATCCATGTACCCGAGTAGCCTCCCTTTCTGAAAACGTTCAAGTAAAGTAGTCCAACAACAGGCTGTGTCTACAACCGCGCTGCTCTGTCCCCTAATGTCCTGTCACATTGGGACAATATTAAAGCAGCCGCGAATAAAAGAGAGAGAGAAGCGTTTTTCCCCTCGACTTTTCTCCCCAGGTAGTGCTTCAAGAAGCCATGGCAGGCGGTAGAAATCCTCCGGGCTTGTTTCTAAACCAACTGGGCTGAGGGTTTAACTGCGGACTTCAAAGTAGGGAACCGCTGGCCTGGTCCCGGAAGATACATAAAAACACAGCGTCTCATCTTCGCAACAACCGATGACATAAAACCAACTAGAACATGGATAAAAGGAGGGAAACGGCGGAAAGTGAGCGCATACATCCCGTTAAACAGCCTGTCGTTCGCGAACCCGTGCGTTTAGACGGCCATTAACGTTCATTAAACTTTTGTAGACGGGGTTAGGATTTACGTGTATGCCAGGACCTTATCAAAGACAGACAATCCAGAGCCAACTCCCTGAGGCTTTAGAGCGTCAGAAGTAAGTGATCTACCGCGCCAATAGCATTATTCTTACAGTCCGCCTGTTACTACACAAAGTTTCAACAGAAACACAAAGCAAACAAAAGGGATACTTCTGTTGCCTGTGGCCTCTTCAAGTGACAGGAGCGAGTTTAGTGTGTCCACCTAGCTGAGGAGAAAGCATTATGATAGGGGTTGCAGTCATTGTACAGTTCACTGTGGTATATATGTGTCTCCTGTTGTGCAGCAAGATGGGTCTTCATTTTTTCTATATTGGTTCACAATGTATAGGGAGTTTGGGCACATTATCCTTGTGTAATTCCAGTAATATTCCCTCAGAATGACCAGATTAAGGGCAGTGACAGTAAAGAATTTGTGGTTAAATATAATTAAAATCAACTATTTAAAACATATTCTTTAAGTTATGGCCCTGATTTGATAATCCTATAGAGTGTAACTGTCAAATAATTTACATATTAGTCACAGGCTTTTACCCACAAAGATGTCAACCTAACACACTTGCCAGTTCCACATTCAGGGAAAATGGCACAGCATGACATTTTGATTGAAATTGGACAGAGAGCAAAGGCAAGAGCTGTTCTCTAGTCTTTTAATTCACATGACTCTCCTAATGTCATTGTGACAGAATCTTAAAGAGTGGGTTAGACAGTGATCCAATCCCATGGTACTTCAAAGGCTATATTGTCCCTTTGATGTTGGAAATAAACTTTAAAGGAGAATATAATTATCTAAGTCAGAGGATTCAAATTCACAAAACTCTCCTGATGGTACGGACAAGGGAACTAATGAAATCCAACTTCTGAGGTCCCCAAGTGGTGATTAATTCATGTTGCGTTATACATAGATAAATAAAGCCTGCTGTGCATCAGTTACCATGTGGATTTACAGTTGTGTCAGCATCTTTGTCCGTATGTCCAAATCCTTACACTCGGCCACATGGTTTAGGGCGACATGTAATCTCATCCAGTCTCGTCCAGCCTGTATTGGCCCTGTTGATAGCTGAGTATTCAGTGACCATAGGACCTTATTATTTTCAATTTACATGCTCAGTATTTTCTCACTGCTTCCTGCAGCCACACTGGATACAAGTTTCCAACTTGTACGTTTTAGTTCTGATGCATGCTGCTCAGTAACGTTAACAAAATCTAGCTTTCTTCCACAGTGCGAGCCCTTCTTGTTTTCTTGGTAAAGCAGAGGAATCCAGTTGATTACACTGACATCCTGCCAACCACTTCCTGCATGCTGTGAGCTTGTCTGATGATTGAGTCCAGCTTATTTCAAATGTAATCTTTGAAGACATTTTCAGTGCAAGGTGTTAAAGCCGTAAACAAAGTCTTTTTCTCTGTCTGTCTCTGTTTGTGTGCACGTGTGTGCACGTGTGTGTCTGTGTGCGTGACAGTGTGAATATGAAGAGGTCATTCATAGCCACTGTTTATACTGGAGGGCTCTGTAAAACAAACATTGCTGCCACAAATCCAAACAATCCAGCACCCAAAATGCACAAAAAGCTTCCAACCCTTCGCAATGGGAAGTGCCCGCTGTCTGCGAGATGGAACCCAAAATCACAAAATGGGTCAGCAGCGTTGGCACTGTGACATTCAAGGGGCATTTGATTGATCAGTGAGGCCCAAATTAAAGCAATGAATATGTAGCCATACTGTTATCTGCACACTAACTTCTTTAAAGCCCGCTTTGAAAGGAGAATTGAGATATAGAGGGGTTATAAAATGTAATTTTTGAAGTGCAGGACAATCTTAAAAGTGGGATATTCACATTCGGGATAAGATGTTATCTTCACTCAAATTAAATTAGTCTGCACATATCACTGAAAACGGAAAAAAAAAGAGTCCACAGACAGTTTAATTTTTGCTGACAGGCAGGAAGCTTCGCTCATGCTTTGCTCAGTCTGCTTTTAATAACATGTAAAGTTCGGGCTAGTCAACTATTCAGGATGTGTTTGTTTTTAATGCAGTGATCACCAAAGATGCAGCCAAAATACAAGTTGCTGACTTTTTAAAATTCATTCTGGAATTGTCAACCCATGAGACCACACCTGTTGACCCTTGAATGGCCACTCTTGTGTTTAGCAGTGACAAAAGAGAGAGGGTGCTGTAAAGAAGCCATAAGAAGCTTTTTTTGATGTTGACCCTGCCCTGACCCCTTTGTTGGGGCCCTAACCATTTCACAGGAAGATCCAAACGCTTTAAAAGCACAATACAGGACGAGAGTGCCGCCACTGACTTGCTATGAAGCCCCAATAAAATGGGGTGACCTGGAGGCTAATTGAGAGCTTGTGGTTGGGAAGAAATTAAAGGCATCTGGTGCATCACCAGAGATTGGAAATGAAGCTCCTCTTTAATTAGAGCCTGCATTAAAGGAAAGTATGCATTTCACTGCTGTCAGTATAGGTGTTGCATCCGGATACATGGAAACAAACAGAGGTCTTTAATTATAGTAGTGTGTAGGAATGATTTGTTAAAAAAACCCTTCTTTCTTTCTTTCTTTCTTTCTGTTAGTACTGTACTGCAGAAGTCTTTGATGGTGTATCATTAGTTGCATCAGTCAAACAGTAGGCCTGTGTTCTCCCTTTTTGTCGCTTTTTCATAAGAACTTTTGGATTTGCATCATATCGCAGCTCACAGTATATGTTCCCACAATGTGAACAATAAATTCTGTACAGCCCGTTTTATCGCCCTTCCCTCCGCTCAAATCCTACACTTGTGCTAAAATAGCACAGAAAAACAGAGGAGAGGGTGGCTAATTGCAAATAACCCAATATTTTGGAGTTCAAAGGCTGTGGTGGGTTTGAGTGATAATTTTGGCTGAAGCATCACCATAAACACTAATAAAATTAAGTGCGTCGGAGGGAGGAGGGGGCGTGGCCAGGCGTCCCTTTGAACAGACCCTGTGATCAGTTCCCCCTCTCAATTAGCGTATTGTCCACTTGTCCTTTCAGCTGGGAGGGAGGGGGCAGTCTCCCCCCTAGCTTCCCTTTGAAGTGATTATCCCTTTATCTCAAGCCTGAGCGAGGAATATCTTGGGGGACAATGGCAAATTAAAGCCCATATGGAGAGAAGCGTGAATGTCTGTTTGTAGGCTCAGAGAGAAATAGAAAAAAAAGAGCGATAGAGAAATAAATAGAGTGGGGAGAGAGAGAGGGGAAAAGAGGGGCAAATAGCATCATTCTGTTTGCATGAGCTGAAGGGTGAGTGGTAGATGTCAACACTCATCCAAAAAAGTAATTTAGGGCTCGTGCCTGAGTTGACACTTGTAGCAGAGTGACTTTAGAAGAGCTAAGGGAAAGAAGAACGGAGGGGGTGGCTGTCATGACAGATGGAGAAAGACAGAGAGGGAGGAATGGAGAGATAGAAGGATGAGCATGAAGAAGAGAGAGGAGTGCAGTTGTCAGCAGAATCAGATGGCGGTCAGGCAGACAGGCTTGAAGAAGATACAATTAAAGTGTGGAGTTAAGACGGGCTTTGAAGTTGGACATGGTGCATAACACCCTTAAAGTTTGAGAAGCCAGCCATTCATCCGCTTGTTATGGCTTGTTAAGACCATTCCTTTTAAAAGGGCCAATTTGAGAAAATAAACTTTAATTTCAACTTTCCGAAAAGTCTAAATAAAAGTGACAACAATCAGGCAAGGTTTTCAGCTAGGTTAAAAGAACAAAACAAAACCCAATGGTCATCTCTTAAAACTGGAGTGAGGGATTTACTAAAGAAGGTGTGGGGGTGCGTGTGAGCACTGAGGATGAATAATTACTTTCTCTTCCCACTCTCCCTCTTTTTTCTTACAATCCTGTTTTTCGGTGGCTTAAAAGTTTAATAATGTATAGAAACAATGTCTGTGATGCTTGGCCTAATCCGTTTGGGCTTGGCAAACCTTTGTGGTAACCGAAACCCTATCTGATGTGAGCAAATGTTTGCCAAGCCAGCATGCACAGACAGACAGTGTGTGTCTCTTTCCTCGGTGCAAGATAACAAGTAAAGCTGAAAAAATAATATAAAACAGCAACATTCTGCACATTACACTACATGACTGCACAAAATGCAAATAACAATACAAAACTTAGTGTATCACAAATTATATTTATAGTGTAATTATGTGTTGTTAGCACACTATATACCCCAGCACTAAGCGCCCTGTGTAACTGTCTCAGTTGTTCCTGCAGTAATTTCATGTGTATGAATTGTTTGTCAACGCATCATGCTCAACAAATCAAATGATTATTCTGATTGTGAAAGCGAGAGAAATGTGTTCACTTTGAGTTCAGTTAGCCATCCTTAATGAGCATCAGACCAATTATGTAGAAAAATGCTTGATATGAAGCAGCAGTCAGGCCTATTAGAGGCTGAACAAAACTTGTTACAGACCAACGCTGGTTTAAACTGACAACGGCTAACTGGCCGAGACTCAGCCTGACAGCAAATCCATGCACTGATAAGGCAAATGAAATGGCCCCTAATGATCAAATGATTCAACTGTTTGACTCCTGGACAAGACGGCAGCGAGAGACAGCAGTGACACCATAAACAAACAGACGGTTGTGCCAATGGTTCATTGTTTAATTTTCTTTGCAGGCAGCCATTGTGATATCAACATATCTGCATCCTGCTGTTTCAGACCAGCTCCAGCAGAAAGGTCAGTTGAG